TATATTTTAGGATGGAAAACTAAGAGGGAACAGGAAGCAAAGGGATCAACAAAAAAGCCTCACTCTGTCTTATATTTACACTTTTATTAATTATTTTACTGATGACAACTGCAGGAGGATAGCAGGACCGGTGAGAGAAAGAAAAAGCATCAAACTTAGAAGGGAATATTGGATAACATTAAAAAAGTAAAAGTTGGGATTGCAATAGAGACTTCCCAGTGGGCAAGTAGAAATATAGTTCTAGAGATCAAGAGAGGCAAATACACAACATTAAATAAAACTTCTTATATGTCTTAGAAATCTCTTATGAAGATATTCAAAGACATGTTAGTTTTCACAAAAAGATGTATAAGGAACAGAGATCCAAGAATGAAATTCTTAGTAAAAATTAACATGGCAGGTGAGTACAGGAAGAGAAACTCATGAAGATATAAAAGGAAGAACAATTAGAGAAATAGTGTCCAGAAGAAGTGGACAGCAAAAAAGGAAAAATATAGGTAAACAGCTTCTGGGATATAGGGAAAAGAAATGGAGGGCACTTACACTGAATTGCTTTGGTCTTCATCATAAACCATGAAGGTCAAATAAAGAGGAGAAGAAGACACAAGTGAGTTTTGGTCTTGAAAAAAGTGGGAAGATTCAAAATAGGCTCTACAAGACAAGTTATGGAAAGTCTACTAGATATGGCTGTGTTTCCAATCAAGAAGTATGAGTGAGAGTAGATGACTATCCATTTACCCATATGGGTACCAGGATTTGTCCATGAAAGGGTAAATGAATGAAAGGACAGTGGATGGAGAATACCACCAGTGCCACCTGAGACTTTTTTTTTTTTTTTTAGAGTTTTTTGCCTTAGGGCATTTGCATTCTCCAGAGAGAGACAGAAACAGAGACAGGGACAGTGAGAGGGAAAGTGAGAAATCATCCCCAGTGGGAATGGTCACACCATAATCCCTTCTCCTCCATTCTCCTCCTGGAATCTTAGACATACATACACATGCACCTAGCATGAGTTTCAAGTCTCCAGGTCCAGAACTCAAGCTATAGTAGGCCATATGGGAGTCTAGTGACATAACTGCTACACCATCTACTGTCCCCAACCTGAGACATTCTTAAATGACTGACTCTGAGATCCAGGCTAAGAACAAAAGGGAGCCTGGGAAAGGGCTGAGAGGACTAGTGGGGATCTAGACCAAATTAGAGATAAGACATTAAAAATTAAAGAACATGAAAAATAAGAGTATATGGCCAAAGAAGGAACTTTATATGTAAAATGAATTTTTTATTTTTTGGAGAGATTTTCACTGTAGGGTGCGTGCGCTCACCAGACAGACAGAGAGAGACATAGAGACAAAAAGCGAGAAATCACCCCCCAGGGGGGATGGTCACGCCGCAATCCCTTCTCCTCCATTCTCCTCTCGGGATCTTGGGCATGCACGCACACGCACCCGGCGTGAGTTTTAAGCCACCGGGTCCGGGACACGAACCGCGGTCGACTACGTGGGAGTCCAGCAACATAGCCATTACACTAACTGCTGGTTCCCTAAAATGAATTTTTAACTTACGCTTTCAAATGAGTCCATTTTTATAGAAAGTTTAAATCTCTTTGAGAGATAAATAAAGATCTTAATCAGGTCTCTGGGTTACTCCTCTCAGCTCTGTCCTATTGATGCTCATTTGATTCTCTTCCATTAGGTCTTCTATACCCATCTGTTGCCATTTATCACACATTCTTCCAGGCTCTATCTTCCATACCTACTAACACTTTGCATCACTATCACTACCACTTGTAACACTCAGCTAACTCATCTTTGTTATTGTTTTATGTTTTAAGATATTTTCTAAGTGTCCATTTTTACAATATTTAAGCATGAAATGAAAATTCAGAACTCTCTAGAACTTATGAACAAAAAAGTCATGCAAAAGTAATGAAATTAAAATCTCTACAATCATGTTAGTATATGCATCACGTATTGTTTCATCTGAAATAATCTTTAAATCTTAACTATTCAGGTAAGATTTACTTGAAACTACAAGATTAGATTACCTGTTTCTTTTATACTTAAGCATCAATGGTGTAACATGATATAGTCAATAAACAAAGTAAACTAGCCATCTTTGATAAGGAAAGGCCAGTTCAATATAATCCAAAATATACCTAGTCAACAATAACTTCTCTGGATTTAGTAAGCTACAGTCAACTTAAGGTTAAAGACGGCAGCATCCACCACTCAATAGATTGGACTAGCTAGCCTTACATGTTGTGCTAGGGTCTCTTCCACAGGAAAGAATAATAATACAATGTTGCCATTAACAATGCTATTCTTACTTTTATAACATCAATCAGAATAACTATCATTTCATGAATACTTATTGTGCTTTAATCACTCTGCTCTGTGTTGTGTACCACTTGGAGATATCTGTAGTATCCCATTTTTCAGATTGAAAAAAGCAAACTTGAAGGTCAATATACCCTTTTAGAGAGGACTTTCTTCAAACCATAGTTCATTATAATAAAATATTACATATGACGTATGTTAAAGATAATGTAATCAAGGGTGAGTGACTCTTACATTGTATCAAAATACTTTAGTACAGTAAAATGTAGTCAAAATAAAACGTTCAAGCATAATATATGTTGATTTATACATAATTAAAAACAAACCATCTAACGTTTTTTGGAAATAAATTTTTTGAAAGAATGAGCATTGAGATATTTTAAAAATACCTAATTAAATTTCAGAAACATGATTTGTGTCAGATACCTTATGTAACAGCAATAAAAATTCCATTAGTAACTGTAATGCCAATTGTACCTTTTGATCATAAAGCCTTCAAGCCATTTTTACAGATATAGAATTTATATTCAATTCATTTCCACAAAAATAAAGATAATATCCAACTTCTTTTTTTCTTTGTTATTAAATATACATATGAAATAGTTTTTGCCCTGCCCACATAAAAGTTCTTTCACTCTCATTTTCCCGAAGCAAAAAGGAAAAGGGGAAGGGAGGGGCAGAAAAGTGAGACTGGAATGTATCCTCTGCACAGCTAAATAGGAAAGGACAGGAAGTAGTACATTCATCAACAGATACATTTTCTCCTTAGATAAACAACTTTCTCCATCTCTTGCCCCCATCCCTTAAAATGAGTTTACCATTGGGTTCCTGTTGACCACATCTTCCTGTGTTTTTCATCCTCTTGAGGAATCATAAATTTTAGACATTTCATCAGATCCACTTTTTGGCATTTTATTTAGTTACCTTCAAACTCTCAACTGAAGAAAAGATCAAGTATTTAGAATTTAGGAGGATTTTGTTTTAGAAAACTAATAGTCCATAAAGTTAAGCATACATAAACATGAGTTGCATTGATACTTTCATATACTCTATTGACATACTCAATGCTAATATAGATGACTTTTGAGTAAACATTTAAATATGTATTTTCAATTGCTGTTTGCACATATCTGTGCAATACTTCTTCTCTATCATAGGCATCTATAGTCTTTGAATAGCTTTACTAACTTTATGCTGATACTGCAATTGTGATGGTAGGGTTTAGCTGTAACTATTAATATAACTCAGCAAAATCACTAGTGGAGACATGAGTTACATGAAAACCATGGTGAGATTAAATGTTTAATACATTCTTTTTATGCTATGGTAACATACGTGACATGAATATTTTATTTCTTGAAATATAATGTTTTTGAAAATTTGAAAAATTCATATTGAGATACTAATTCTTTCCACAAAGGTTAGACTTATTATGACCTAATGGTGAGTAAACATTATGCAACTAAAGTTTAAGCCATGCTAGTATTATAGATTTTTAGAGTATTTAAAAACAATTTAAAAAGATAGACTCATAATTTACCTTTGATATTGTTATTATGAATGGTCATTGTGACACACAGAGCTTGAAAAAAAGATATTTTTAAGTAATAGAAATCTTTATGGGTTAGATGACCTGGTATTCTTAATCTAAACTTCTAGAAAAAGGTTAAATGAAAGTGATTATAAAACTACATGTAATGAGATAATACTAAATCATAAATATTTTATACTTCTATCACACACATCTTTAGCTAAGAATGATAAAATGAGTAATGTGTATTTTTCTTTTAAAAATAACTTAATAACAGATGAAGATCAGTGCAAAAAATAAGGTTATTCTCAGTGGATACTACCTCTAATTAAATGTCCTGTCTTCATGTGACTGGTAGCCTTAACTGTGACTCTTTCTTCTACATAGCTTAGTTTCAAAGTCATTCATTTGTTCTATTTGTGTATCATTTGCCTGATGGTTTAACTTCAGGGCATTAAATAAAAAACAAAGTTCAGTTGCATTTTTTTATAGGTAGTTAATTGGGTCATAAACTCTCTTCTAGTCTCCAAATCTAATTATTTTGAGGACTCGTTTTTTGGTTTTACTTATTATTATTATTATTATTATTTTATAAAAAAAATCATAGGAACTCTTCAATATAACATCACAGAAAAAGGAGTGCTATTTACTTTGTTTCTAAAACTTCCATACTATAATTTTATATTTGAGTTTGTCTTCATTTCTCCCTTCCCAAGAAATGTTTTAGCATATTTTAGAAACTTTTCTGTGAAAACTAGGCAATACCATTTTAAAAATTTTACAAGAAGCATTGATATAATTGTTACCATGAAGGTAGTACATGATTAGGTCATTTATCTCTTGAGATGACATTTTGGAAAAGATATATAGAGAAATGAAAATTTAAAAATGAATTATATATATATATATATATATATATATATATTTAGTTAGAAATTGCTATACAGCTTTCTCTATTAATTTTGTAATCTTGTAAGTCACCTCTAAATCTAGTAGGGTCTTTATAATTGATTTTTTTTTTTGAAATTTGTGTGATGGAAACAAAGACATGCTTAGTTAGCTATGCTTAGAGTCCACTTGGATACTGATGATATTCTTATTCACATATTGCAACTTTTTTTTTTTTGCAGTTTTACTAAAGGGAGGAAAAAGAGAGGAAGATAAACCATTTAGAGACTGTGCAGATGTTTATCAAGCTGGTTTTAATAAAAGTGGAATCTACACTATTTATATTAATAATATGCCAGAACCCAAAAAGGTAAAACTAGAAGTATTTGTTTATGAGATGTAAAACAGATCCTAGTTGAATGACTGGCTAATCAGATTGACTTGTAAGATTGTTAAACTGGAAATTACATATATATATACTCTCTTCTACCAGAGATTCTCTATTTCTCAGGTCCATAAAGTATGGAAACCCTATTGTATAGAAATGCCCTAACCTCTGTATTGCCAATCCTTCCTTCATACAAAGTTTTCTATTTATTCTCTGCTATTCTTTGGTTGTCCCATTGTTCATAATTGTTTAATTTTTACTAATTATATGTCGAGGTCATATCTACCTTGAGTACATGGAAAAAAGTTAGGACCCATCTTCCAGTTCCCAAATCCCAGGGAGTACACAATATCCATAGCCCAAATATTATGGAAAGGGAGCAGGGAACAATAGCTATTTCCAGACTCGCTACTTCTGTAAGGGTGAGAGAAACATATCGTATCTTAACTCATAATCTCAAAAGGATTTGCTTTTCATATTTACATAAAAGAGTGAGATGAAAGATTAGATTCATCAGTATGTTGAATAGGACCCAAAGTAAACTTTGATTTAAGCAGACACTAATCTTGCTGTTGCATATTCTTTCTATATTCTCTCCCTCTACATATTCATTAAATCATACATCCATGCCTTTGAACCAAGGTTCCATACAATTAAATGGGCATCATTCATTTGTCAGTGACTAGTCAGGACCATAAATTGAAGCATACAGTTTCCAGTGTTGTGGTGAAGATAAACAATTACCTAGCCAGTTATAAAATAGTGTAGAAATATAATGATAGAGACAGTATGCTTTAAGTGGGGTGTATGAAGACCTTTAAGGTGAGATAACCAAGGAAAGTGTGATGAGAGACAAAAGCCTTGCTCTTCAGAAGCTTTAACTAGATGCCCAAAGTCCCAAAAGGATCGCCTGCCCTGTCTTTGCCCTACCTAAATTACCTCTTCCATTTTCCTCATTTCCTCTGGGTCCTGTGCAACTGTTTGTGGAAGGCCTCTGCTGATTCTTCCAAGTGCTGATTGTGTGACTTTCTCACAATCAGAGTTCTATAAGACAGGAACTGTGTCTTACCATATTTGGTTTCCTGGGAAGTCATTTCTTGCACAGAGTAGGTCTTCAGTAAATATGCACTGGACTGACTGGAATGAACTAATGAATAAGTGACCTGCTGATGATAATATTAACACCTCTATGTAGTATATAACAAGTTTAACTTACTCAGTCTTTCTGATTGTTAGTCTCCTTTGATAGGCCAGAGAAATTAATCCTGGAAACCAGTTTGTCCAATGTCATGTAAGTGCCAAGATAGAGAGTCTGGGCTCTAGTTCATGACTGATCAAATTCAAGTTTCCTTTCAACTTCTGTCCCCTCTCTCCTGATTTCAAAAAGGATTAGTGGTTTAAGTTAGCTCAGTGTTTTGGCATTTTTTCACCTTGTGCTGGGACAAATTTTTCTTCTCAAAAGAGACTTTCAGTGTTGTTCTATAACTGGGGAAGGGTGAGGGCAGAGTAAGCACTGGAGGGAGAAAATGGGCAGGCACAGTTCTATATATTGCTAGGTCGGCCACCTACGAGGGAAGTTTGGTTTAAGTTTGGTTTTCCTTATTTCTTATTTGGAGCTTCTGTGCAAGATTTCATTAAATAATTTATGGCTTAAAATAAATAAAATTGTGAAGATACAATGGCACGTTTAGGAGTAAGGAGATAAGAACATCTTATTGTAAAGAGGAGACTTTTGGATATCGTAATATTAAACTTCAGGTTGCATCCAACTCACAGACATAACATGTATACATATCACACATATAGCATGTGGAGTATATGGGAAACTGTCCCAAGGGAAGCAGGAGCTAAAATAAATACTCTCTGAACTTTATGCACAGTACTGATCAAGTCCTGAAAGAACCCTAAACAATTATCAAATTTATTAGAGTTTGTAGCTTGACTATAAAAACAAAGTTAACTAAAAATATTAAGTAACCCTCTTTTTAAATACCTGAAAAGTTTGGTAACAAACTTCGTTTTAAATCACTTGTTACAATCACATAGCATGGCATTTGTAGGAACAAATATTGTATGAATCTCTTCAGAGGAATTTAGAAGCTGATTAATACAATAGTTTGAATATATTGAATACTTAGTTTTTCCAGTCTTGTGTTAAGTTATTCTCTCACTTAATATTTTCAACAATCTTATGAGATAGATGCTCCTATTATTCCTGTTTTAGAAAAATAATTTGTCCAAATCATATTGGTCATACATATTAAACACTGGCTCTGAAACAAAAAATCTGTTTCTAGACTGCACCATCTTAACCAGTGGGCTAAATAGGGCAATTATTTATATTAATGATGACTGATGTTGCACCATGGATAATTTTTTGATATGAAACTATTGCCCCATGAAGCAGTAAGCACATGTGACATATGAGGGACACAGGCAAGGGCTTACTGTTAGAAATGAGGTAAATTGATTCATATTTTGATCACAATGTTTCTCAATTTCTACAGTCCTCTAATTTCATTTTCTACTCTGATTTTGAAATAAATAATTAGTATTCTCTTAATCCTTAAAAAATGCTAGAAAAATTCATCCTTAGTACTTTCATTCTCCCAGTAAACAGTATTGCAGATATAAAGTTTGGTGTTACCGTAGCCTTGCTTAGCAAAAGCTTTGCTCATTATAATGCTTTCATAAGTTCTAGCAAGTGTAAGAAACTCAAGGCAAGTCTATAAAAAACATAACAAAATGCCTTAATATGTATGACTTGGAATATGAACCAATCAGTAAAATTAGGCTAATTAAGACAACTAACAAAAAACTATTAACAACAATTACTTATCTTCTAAGCAGAGTTAAATTGCAAATATAACAGAATTGTTACTTATGGTTTTCACTGATATTGTTCCATGCTAAAAATAAAATATCCCCCCAAATTAGAAGAGCGTTGTATTTTCAAATGTAATGTGGAAGCCCAAGGTAGTTTTCTAGGACTATTTAACTTTTCAAGTAAATACGAAACGAGAATTAGCTCTTCTACATATCTGGTTTTTGCTTTCATATTAATGGCCTGTGTTTATTTTCTTCTCTGAATTCCCTTCAATGCATACTAGAAAGACACAGGATTTTTTCCTTTCATTTCATGAGTTTCTAAAACCAAATGCCCTATAACAGTTTAAGTCCGTCCAAAAAAACAAACCATTAAATCATAATTCTTCTTCTTGTAAAATGTTAAAAATTTGTTTCTGAACTCATAATTCTCCTAATTCTTGGAATAGAACTATAACCAACGTGTTGAGCCTTTTTCATTTCTGGTTATGGAAAAATAATTAATGTCCACAAGTCTAGTCATTTCAACTTGAATGGAGCATAAAAGCATAAAAACTATGTGAATCATATTCCTCCTTTTTGTTTGGGTTTAAACCTCTGTATTATGTTAAAAGGTGTTTAATGCTTAAAAGTTTTGACCTTGCCTGGGATGGGAGCCAGTTCAATATTTCTTGGATAGAGTTAAGCCCAAGTCAGATGATCACTAAATACAACAGGATAGTAAATGTAGTGGGGCCTTGGTCATAGGAAGGACGTCGCCAGATAGCACAGACCACACAGCATTGGCAAATGAACTCTTCAGAGTCTTTCTATGACTCAAATCTTTCTGAAACAAGTCATCTATTTTCTTGAACTTCCTTCATTTGTTAAACACAGGCTTTTAAATTTTCATCCAACTAGAAGTAATGACATTTTTTTTTTTACTAGAGTAAATCTAACTTCTTAAATAGATATATAATAAAGAGTAACAAGCCAGCCAGGTGGTCTGGTGGTTAAGGCAACTGGATCCCACCTGGTCAACTGTATGTTTGAATTCTGAACTTGGTGGCTTGAATAATACACCAGGGGTGTGCACATACATGTCGCAAATCCCAAGAGAATGGAGAAGAAGTGATTGCAATGTGGTCATCCCCTCTGAGGAGTACTTTCTCATTTTCTCTCTCTGTCTCTGGCAAGCACACACACTCTATAGAAAATTTAATTAACAAGTAATCTGCATAAAGATTAGTGATGCCAATATTATTAACTAAAAACTGTTAAGTATAATCATAAAGACTATTAGACTTCTATGTACTTTGGCTTTATATATTCTCTATTATTAATACTAAATTATAAATAATAAAAACTATATTCAGTGTTGTATATAATATACTACAGCTTATGAAATATTGGATCATATACATATATAAAATGTGGACTTTAAGTACATATTATCTCATCTGTAAAATATACCTAAGAGATGAGGCTTACGACAGTACTTGCTATGCACCAAACATTATTCTAAAAACATTGCAAGCATTGACTCATGTAATCTTCATGAAGATCTAAGAGGTAGATAAAGGAAGCAGAAGTGGGATTGGAATCCAGGCAGTCCAGCACCCAAGTCTGTTCCCTGACCCAATGTGTCATTCAGCCTGAGTATTCCACAAATGGCAGCTCTCGTCACTTAGAGTCCTGATACTTTATGGAGTGTTAGATATGAGTCCTTCAATTCTGTGCACCTTAACCTCATCCCAGTAGTCTGCCTGGGTAATGTCTGTATCCTCATGAAGCTTGGCCTTCTCTGAGCCTCTACCAAAGAAGCACTCTGACCATATATTTTTTTTTTTTTTTAGAGATTTTTTTCTATACGATGTGTGTGCTAGCCAGAAAGGCAGAGAGAAACAGAGAGACAGAAAGCAAGAAATCACCACCCCAGGTGGAATGGCCACGCAGCAATCCCTTTTCCGCCATTTTCCTCTCGGGATCTTGGGTAGCAAGGACATGCACCCAACATGAGTTTAAGCCACTGGGCCCGGGACTCGAACCATGGTGGACTACATGGGAATCCAGCAACATAGCCATTACACCAACTGCTGGTCCCCAAGCACTCTCAGCATATCTTAACATTTATAAGTCACTGAATGCCTCTGTTGTGAAGAAAAGTTGTTGTTTTTTGTCTTTAAATTTGTGAGTGATTTTAAAACTAAGTATATAGAACTTTATAAGATAGATAACAGTTAAAACAAACAAACTGTACAGCATACTTTTCTCTTCATACTCTATCAGTGTATTGATTCCTGTCCCTCAGTATGTAAGCAGACTTTATAGCTTTGCAAAGAGAGTTTGGCAAGTTTCCAGACAATCAGTGTACATTAGAAAATCAAATCTGTAAAACAGAAGGAGAAAAAATAATAATAAAAGAAGAAGAAAAGAAAAGCTATTCTGGATTAACCAGTCCAGATGGATAAAACTGAGAATCTAGTGACATTTAGTTTCCCCTAGCAAAATGTCCCCTGTCGTCTCCATTTCCCCTTACTCTGATTTAAACTTTACAAGGCAAGTTCCACCTTGGGCATTTCTCTGGAATAGCCATCTAGGCCTTTTTCTAACTCTTCTGTCTAATTATATTCTCACAGGAAACCTGAAATCTTTCTGGCCAAGGTCACTAATGGTGCCTTCATCTCAAATTTAAGTGTATATTTTCTTAGTCTGTATTTTTTTCTTGAACATTTAAAGATTTTTGTTGTAAATTTATGATATATAAGTGTATAAAAATGTATGGATTAAGTTAATACATCTTCTAATTTATGTGAAAAATTATAATATAACTCTGTACCCCATAGACCAAAACATTTTATTATGTTAATTACCTCCCCAACTCAAAATCCATCACCAGCTCTTTTTATTCAATTAATTAGGTTTCCCTATTTTATCTTTATTGCATCTCTATTTATTCAACAAACATTTATTTCATACCTTCAATAGGTGAGGCATTGCTCTAGGCATGTGGGAACAGTACCAAATAAAACAAATCTCTCCACCTCAAGGGTTCTGCTGTAGTTTATCTTCAGCAATTGCTCACCGAAGCCCATTTGTGGGCCCTCCTGTCTGTCTCTCTCTCTCCTGCATACATGTCTCTTACATTTTTCTTTATTCTTTAAATAATGCATCCATCTTTATGCTCTCAGCTGCTATTTTCAAGTGAATTAGTCTCAATAATTTTGAAATAGTTGGACATGGGATTCTAACCATGAATCCAGTTCAAAACCTAAATTCAGTAGTTACGTATTAACTATTGATAAGTTACAAAGGTACTCTAAACCTCAATGATTTATCAGTAAAATGGAAAAATGGAAATAAAAAATGGTACCTATTTCATTGGGTGGTTGTGAGATTTAATTAGAAAATGAATGAAAAGGGTTTGCATTATCTGGCACTTAATAAGAAGGACATTGTTATTGTCAATTCCTTTCTTATTCCTTATTCCCTAAGGCATATTTTTATTCTTGGTCTAGCTGCAGTAGATCATCTATCATAGCTGATACACTCCCCTTTTAGGTGTCTATGCCTTTTGATTACTCTGTGTCCACAACCACACATCATCATTTTCTTCTCTTACATGTTAGTTCTCTTTCTTAAAGTTGTCATTTAGATCATTGTCTCTATCATTCTTCAGATCACTGAAGTTGAACATTGTGGATTACAGTTTCTCCTTCTTCTTACAAGAGTAGTTACTATTGAAATTCTGAGGCATTTTGAGGCCAAGATCTCCCATGTTTTATTAATCATAATATTCCCAGTTATATCACAAAATCAAGGGCCAAGAATGCTTGGTGAATGAAAATACAAGTGAGTGAATGGATTAGAATTAAGGAGGATGAAAAATTAGCTGGAGGTTATTTTCAGAAAAAAAGAAAAGGTATGGAAAGATGGAAGTATTAATGGGGGGAACCTTGGGATGTGGAGAGGAACTTGACATTTATAATCTTAGAGATGAGTCAATTCCTAGGGATAATGAGGACAGACAGAGTGGATGGTGGTTGTGAAAGTAGAGGGGGAGCCCTTGGGAGTGCAGTTATCCTGCTCCATATGTTCCCAAATAAGCATGTGAATCTTAGTGACTTTCACTCTGAGGAAGTAATGGAAAATTTGTCCTCTGAGTGACAGTTCTTGCCATTGCTTTGAAGCCCTTTAGCCACTTGTGCCCCAAGTATAAGGCCTCAGAGAAAATGCTTGAGGTCTTTCCTTGAATCAGAGCTCCACTGATTCTACACAGTCTTCCTGCCACTACTGCATCACATTGACACCTTTAGCCCACCTTCAAAACATTTCAGTATTCAATTGCTGGGGGAATGGCATTCCTCATAGCTGAGCCCTTGAATCATCAATCGGCCACATTAATGTTACATCCATTACATTGATTGCTCTCCAAAGATAATCCCATTACAGATATGTTTCTTTCCTTGGGTGGACTCTGGGGGAAATGAATCAATTTCTAAATAAATACTATAGTATTTAAAATAATTGAAATAAGCATAAGGCTTTGAAAGATTTGGATAACTTTTCCACATGGGAAAGAAATGCTTGTCACAGTCAGAAGGAATACCGTATGTCATGTTCTCTCCTTATTGTTCCTGACTAAAATTTAAGCAAATAATGTACTCTCCATAGGCTGAGGACCAAATTTTTCATCTAATGTAATACTGGATACTCAAGAATAACTATTGTAATGTGTAAATGTATTGGAGTTAATATGTGATAAAACATGGAATAGTTAATTATATGTGATGCTTTCAAAAACGATTTTTCCAAAACTTTTATTCTCATTATATTGCCATTTCAATCAAAGACTTACAAATTCTGAGTCTTATGTTTGGCAGTAAAGTGGTCTGTAATTTTGGAAACTTTAGTAGCATTTTTAAAATGGGAACATATGCAAGTGCCTATTTCCATCTATAACAAATATTTAAAAAATATTTATTATCTGAGACTGAGATTATTAATGTTCAGATGATGGATTTAAGTTTTTACAAACAATTTATGTACCATTGATGGAATTTAATCAGAAATAACTCAAAAGAATCATGGGAAGAAATAACCCATGTGTCTAATTTAACATTTTCCCAAGAGTAATTTTCTTTCTTTTTTCTATAGGCATAGACATTTTATTTCTCTTTGCAAATATATAAGATATGTATTTCTCTAAAAATAGACCTATGTTTCACTTGATTTTATCTTGCCTTTATCTGTCAGGTATTTTGCAATATGGATCTTAATGGAGGAGGTTGGACTGTAATTCAACATCGTGAAGATGGAAGTCTGGATTTCCAAAGAAGCTGGAAAGAATATAAAATGGTAAGATTGATGTTTTTATCATGAGGTTATCTTTGCTAATACTATATGATAAACTTTTGCATTTTTAGATGTTTTTGAATTATTTTAAATATGAAATGATACATTGGTGGCATTATTTTCATTAGACACAAAACACTCATAAATCACTTTGGTAAATGGTTTCCATGTGTGCATCAGGAAAACAAACTGCATTACAGAAATGATCTGGTGAACTGTTACGTACTATCCAAATTTGTTCCTGGTTGAATGAAAATGGAAGAAGCTAGAATTAAGACCTATCTGGATTTGTGAGCCAGGACACGGGAGGTGTGCAGGGCTGTGGGCTCTAGCAATGGCCTCACTCACATGGCTGGAAGCTGTTCCTGGCTGGGAAATCCACACCACCTTTCCATGTAGCTAGAATGGGCTTTTCCCAGTATGGTAATCCAGGCTTGTCAGACTTCTTATGTAACAGTTGGCTTCCCCCAAACACAGAAATAGAAACTTCCACGCCTTTTTTAAGAAATGGCACAGTGCAGGACCAGCAGTTAGCGTAATAGCTATGTCACTGGGCTCCCATGTAGTCAACCGCGGTCAGAGTCCCAGACCCGGTGGCTTAAACTCATGCCGGGCACGTGTGCATATGTGCCCAAGATCCCGAGAGGAGAATGGAGGAGAAGAGATTGTGGTGTGGCCATCCTCCCTAGGGGGTGATTTCTCGTTTTCTGTTTCTCTCTGTCTTTCTGGCGAGTGCACACACCCTATAGCAAAAACCTCTTGAAGAAAAAAAAAAAAAGAAAAGAAAAAAAGGAATTACACAATGCTAGTTCCACTGCATCCTGTTGGCTAAAGTTGATCCTAGAACCAGTCAAGTTTCAGGGCATACATAAGGGTATGAATTGTGAGTCATGGTTGGTTGGGGTTTCTGAAATAATAACAGGCATCATCACCACCATTATTATTGTAGCTAACTTTTCAATACTTAATGTGTACTAGTCCTATACATAAATTCTTAACCAATTTTTCATATCAAACCTATTAGTTAATATTCTCCTCAGTTTAAAAGGAAACTGAAAGCAGGGACATCGATTTGTCCAAGATAATATAGTAGGTACTTGAAATGATTCATAACCTAATGATCACATGGTCAGTGCATACAATATTAAGTATTAGCAGAATGTCAAGGTACAGTAGTGGAGGAGGATTTTCATTTATAGAATAATATTCATTCTTTAGTATCTTTAATTTCTGACTAATTCCTTCCTTGACTTTCTAAAAAATTATCCTCTTTAAAGATAAAGCCATAATAAGAAGGCTGTGCTAGCTTAAGTTGTATGTTATTTTAAAGACATTGTGTAAAGTCTATGGTTGGTTGCCAGCCTCTTTGCACAGTAGTTAAGTGCATTGTGGAGGGAGCGATAGGACAAACCAGAGTTTGAATACCACCCACCCATGTTGGATTTCTGCATGTGCCCCAAATCCCGATGGGATGGCGAAAGAAGAAAGAAGGATTGCAGTATGACCAGACCCATAGGGGTATGCTGTCTTTCTCTCTCTCTCCCTCCCTCCCTCCCCCTCTATCTCTCTCTGGTGAGCATATGTGCTCTCTGACAATTAAAAATACAAGAGAGAGTATATGCAAATTCTTAAAAGTGGCGGGGGTGGGGGGGAAAGCTCATGCATAGCAGTGAAGCCTTATGGGAGCCAGATCCCACATGGCTAATGGTGGTTTGAATCCCAGTCCTGGTGGCTTGAGAAACACACTGGGTGCATGTACATGCATACACCAAATGCTGACAGGATAGAGAAATGGAATAAAAGGGATTATGGTGTAACCATGCTCCATCTTGGTTTTCTTTCTCGCTCTCTTTTCCTCTTTCTCTCTCTCTTCCTCTTTCTTTCTTTCCCTCTTTGGTGAGCACACACAAACCCTGGCAATTCACATGTATACACACACATATAAAAATTAACTGAGAAGCTATAGCATAAAGGTGAAAACAAAATGACTTAATAGCCTAGTGTTTGAAAGATGGAAAGATTTATTTGGATAAGATCTTTTTGTGTTACTAGCTACTAAAAAAGAAAGATTAACATGTTCAGTTAACATGTTCAGTCTACATTTTGTTTCACAAAACATGCTAAACTCACTGTTGTCTGCCAATATGGTTTTATCAAGAAAATTATTTTCATTCTGGATGCTTCAAATAAGTGAACTTATCCTAGGGTTTATAAGAAGGAAGAGAAGAATCTAGAAATAATTGTCTAGAGCAAATGAGTAACTACTGATTTTTTAACAGAGAGGAAAAAAAAGAATTAGACATAAATTATCACTATCACTATTTTAATTAACTGGATACTGGTATGTAGTACTACAGTCCACTATTCAAAGTGTGGTCCAGGGACCAGCAACATTAACATTGTCTGTGAGTTTATCAGAAACATAAAATCTCAAGCTCTGTCTCGGACTTACTAAATTAGAATCCTCATGCTAGCACTGCTTTAGAGGGAAATTTTATAATGAGTGGAGAAACATTCCAGACAGGCAAACTTTGACTAAACACGAATAAAACTCTCTAATGATTAATTCTTTTTTTTTTTTTTTTTATGTGGAATGGACTTCCTCTTAAGTGGTAAATCCTTCCCCTCTTCAGTGGCAACACTCAACAGAATGTAGATCATCATCTTTCAGAATTATTATGGAGAATTAAAGTGTTGGTTTAGGTTCTAAGGCCTCCTTCTGTCCATATGATTCAAAAAAAAAAAAAAAAACACCTGGGGGAGAAGGATTATGGCATTATATAAATCCTGAAAGAGGGTTTTGAATTACGTCTAAACTAATAGTTCAGATCTTCACACTGCTTTTTGAAGTGGAGTGATTTTTGACAAATCATTTAACCCCCTCCTTAACTTCTTCACTTATCGAAAAGGAACAGTGACAATATGACACCTGCTACACTGGGACATTGTGAGGATTAGAAATAATATAAGCAAAGCACTTTGGCACACTGAATGTTCAATAAACAGTAGTAATTATTATTATCCAAAATTAAAACATCAAAGGCTGAAAAAAATGTTTACCTAACTCAGCCAAAAGAATTTTACAAACCACCTTAACTCATGATTCTGTCCATCACCATAATAGAATGTGAAGAAGTCATCTGAGAAAAAGAATTTAGATATCAAGTCAGTAACAATGAAATGCATTGTACTAAACTAATGATAACAGAAAAATGAATATAAAGTTGTCATCACAGTGACTTTCCAAGATGGTGAATTACTAGCTGTAAACAGCTGCTCCTTGGCAAGCTAGGCACGCTAAGTAGGAGATACTGACTTGTCAAGTATGGAATCAGTTCGTGTGTTGTAAGTATTTACCAACGCTATCTAATTTTATCTAATTATTTTTTATTATTATTGGAGCAAGATGGAAATTTTTTAATATTTCATTTTATAGAATTTCTCCCTCCCCTCCTTTTTAAATAAAAAAGACTATCATGCTTTATTCACAGTCGAAAAATTCATCAAACAAACATCAATTCTAAATGATCAGAATATAAGAAAAGCTCCAGAATTCTGAAAAATTCTGACAAAAATGGGTCTGAAGACTCTTTTATTTTTCAATTAACAGAATGCATCGTATATTACAAATTGGTTAAGTTTTATCGAAATACAGGACAGAAAGTGTTTCTGTTCTTTCCTCGAGAGCTTTTCTCTCACATAAAGACAAAATAAAGATTTTACCAAGAATAGATAGAGATTTCTTATGCCAATTCTTATCAGTCACATCCACTTCTAGTCCCTGCATTTGAAGAATTAGCTGCTCTGTTCTTCAGCTTGGAATACATCCTTTGGGAAAACAAGAACTTCTTGCATACGCCACTTCCTCCTCAGTCCTCACCAATCTGGGATCTTCCTTGTGCATGTAGTGTAGAAATGATGTTTTATCCCTCCTTCCTTTTTGCCTTTTCTCCATTCTTTCTTTCTGACTGATTGATATCCAGAGGCTGTCTCTTACCTAAGATTTTCAGAACAATATGGTAAAGCTATCAACATATGAAATAACACATATATATTATATATCACCATTATTATTTTTAAACTTCTCTCAACATGGAAGATTTGCAATTTATTTGATTTCTAACATTGGCTTTAAGCCTACAAATGTCTTTTTACCTGAGGTTTGTTTTCACTTAAACTTACTTATGAGTAGATTCAGCAAAATCTCGTTTATGGATTTGTAAAGATGTTCCCTGAGAGGGAAATCTGGAATAAACTTTTTAATGAGGCACTTAGGGAACTATATTAACTCCTTCCAGCCATAAGAGCACCATTCAGTAGCCTCTAGCAGTAACATTTATCAGCAGTACTTTTGCATGTAAAGCCCAGTGAAGCTAGAAGTTTCACTTAAGTGGCCTAACTTTATAGTAGGCAGTGACTAATGCCCTGGAGACAAACTTGCTTTGTTTTGAAAACAATTACCTCCATAAACAGAGCTTCCAATGGACACACAGATTGCAGTCTGAGCATCTTACCTTTGTTTTTTCTGAAAAGAAATTAAGAGCACATTTTGAACTGCATTTTAACATCTTCAGATTAAAAAGAAAAAAATACAAGAGACATTTTAAGTTTTGAAATACGTAATTCCTTTATCTTTTCTTATCTGAGTGTCTCAGCAATTGGAGGAGATGTATGTAATTTAATTGTGTATTAAGGCAACTTTGGAAAGTAAAAGCTCAGGAACATGGACTTATCTGTTTTCTTTAATAATTTGTATGAAAAAAAAAAAAAAGAAGACAGAGGAAACCCATAGGATATATAGATTGTGTCTGCTTTCAATTTTGCTTTATCTATTAAAAAGTCAACACTTCCTGTGAGCATTATCAGACAAAAGAAGTATCAGAGACAATTATGTTATTACCTTTGAAAGGCAAAAACTAAAATCGAACATCTCTGCAAGCTTGGCAAAAACTAATGAATGCTGGTCTTTCCATTTCATGCTTTTTTGAGGAAAATGTGCCTTT